ACCAGATGTGCGCCAGTTTTAAAAAAGAAATAAAAAAAAAAAAGGCAACGCAGGAGATAAAAACAATTAAGCATCCCCCCATTCACATGACGCCGTTAAATTAAGGGTTGACGTTCAGTGTTGATGTCTCTGCTGAAAGCCTTAGTGGACATCATGTGCTTGAAGGGTGGGCCACCGTGGTATTTCCTGTGGGAGGATAAGTATTGTGTGTAAGAGACGAATGATAAGGTTAATACTCCACACTTCCCTCTGCTGCGAAATCCACCCTTCTAATTAACTTTTGTTTACCTCAATATTTTAAGCTGTCTTCAGTTTGGATCCAGTAATGGTTAGACATGCTTTGACTTTGTTACTGTATGTATAGAGGGCTTTTCAGTTTCAATAGTTCTGCGAGGCTAAACCACAAAACACCACGTAGCATGCCTGACCTACACTGAACTGACCTATTTCTGGTGGTTATTGTAGGCGTTGTAGACACTTGTCATTGTGTTTGTTGATCTCATCTGGTCTCTTTGGTTTGAGCGTATGGCCTGGTCCCATGTACGCGTGGTGTTTTTATTTCAGTAACAGACATCTATGAAGATTTAGTTTCTGTCAGGATACTTTGTTTTCTCTCTTCACTGTCAAGGTACACTTGTTCTTTTACTCTCCACAACCTTATTCTCCATCGACGATAAGCTATTTTTGTTCATCATACACACAGAAATGGGGAAGGTTCTCTGACTGTGCTTCAAGTGATCTAATTCAGTACCTTTCTTCAGTTTTCCCCTTTTTTTCCTGTCTGTCTACAGTACATCCCAGCAGCCCTCCTCCTATCCCCTCACTGCCCCCACCCCTCTGTTTGTTGCCCAGTGATCCCTACCCTGGGCCCCCCAGAGACCCAGCCTTTTGTTTTTAATTAAAAACACTGTCCCTTTTGTGTAAAAGGGCCCATATCAAAGCCTCCATAATCATCATTCTCTGAACTGGGTCACTGTCACCCCAAGTTCCCCGTAGCAGCATGTGTGCACCCAGAGGACCAGCAACAGGCCTGTCAGCACAACAGGTCAGGAAACAGAAAGTTTACAGAAGTAGAGTACTCCTATAGTAGCTCTGAGTGTTTGATCAGTGGGAGTTTTCTGAGGCACTTTACAATAGTTTATTTGTATAGCACAATCTGACCTTTTCATAGCAGACATTATGATCTATCATAGTAGGATGAGCGCAGGTGTTGCTAATAACATTAACAATGGTCCTAAATTGTTATTCATGTGTCCCAGTGTGACAGTGAGCCCGCATGCACAATACCTGGAACCAACGCTTCTTAATTAGAAGTCATAATTAATTTTGTTTACTCCGGTTCTTATTCTACTGTGAACTGCAGAATGTCTTCCAAGAAAGGCTCTACATACAAGGCCATACATTGGCTCATAGCACTTTATAGGCCCACATCGACCACATCAGCCCAAATTTAGTAGATCCAGATATGGAAAACTGCCACTAAAAACATAAACAGTGATATTGTATAGTCAGAAGGGAATTAAGGGGAGAGAGCATGTACACTCCCTAAATTTAAGTTGTATGTTGTATTAGCCAATCAAACATATTATTTAAATATTTCCATTTTCCAAGCCCAAATGGAGATGTTTTCTGCCTGGGCTTTGGCAAGTTCTTGTTATAGCAGTGGTTCCCAAACTCTACTCTCACAGAGCCATTGTAGTGGGGGTGCACATGACTGGTGGGGGGTGTGGAATGAAACTGAAGTTGAATAGAGCTCTTGTCAAAGCAGACATTTAGACTTGTCAAACAGGGGTAATGGTAATTGCTGGAATGGAGACGTCGTTAATGTTTTAATTCCACCTCTGCTTTTCCTGCTAGTCCAACAAAGAAACACTAGAGCTCTGCTGCTGGCAAAGCTTTCAAGATTCAGGTTTGCAATATTTATTCAGAGAGCAAAACGATATGTAAAGTACAAGGTCAACAGGTTTTTGATGAGAATGAAAGGAAAAACGGGCGATTTTCAACAGCCAAACATATGAGTCAGATCTCTAATATAACAAGACTATCTTGCTCTCAAGATCACTGCAAGTAATAGAAAAACATTAAGTTGGAAACTGGAAATATGGTAAAGTTCTTAGCTTGATATATACCTTGACAAACTATGTTTTAAGTGGCTTTTAACAGAATATTTGTAATGCCAATTTTATCTCCTTGATGGAAGATAAGTAAAATCTATGAACACCATGTGCTCATATATTAGAAATAAAGAAATGCATTAGGCGACAGGACATTAAAGACACCGTCTTTAACACATCATTGGGTAGGGAGTTTTGTAAAAGAATTACTAGTTTATACAGGAAGTGGTGCACTGGGGCGTTTGCAGTGTAGAGAAGAATAAATAGAGGCCAGAAGCTTAACCTTGTGGTTTAAGTGTGATGAGCAGTGTTGGCCATGTCTGCTTCCTCCTGCTTGCCCACCTGTGCTTGTGCTTAAACTTCAGTGACTATGGAAATGTAAAGAACTGACACAGGGCAATGAGACCAGAATAGAGCTCCATTGTGCTCCAGTGGGATATCTCTGCTTAGGAAAGGAGGTCAGCCAGCTAAGAGGGTTCAGAGATTCATTACAAAAGAGAACGCACTGGGACCTTTTCTCATTATTGGAAAGATTAATGGGTTGAAGCCTTGTCTGGACTTGTGAAGACGAGGTAACTACGAATGTGCACGTGTCCTTCGGTGTAGACCTGGCTGTGTGTTTTGAGTTTGATCATGCCCTGGAGTGTATGACAGTGTTGCCGCTGTTGTTGTACCGACCAGAAATGCTGCTCATTTGCCAAGGTTGCCCCTGAAGCCATGTACTCCACTGATGCAAAGTCACACATCCTCTACCTCTTTGAGGATCGGCCCAAAATTTGCTTAAGGCCTTTCCTCCGTGCCGAGTGTTTTACCAAATGTCATGCACGTTTGACTCACTAAATGCCACATCGTAATAAACAACTTTTAGTAGTAAACTGGTGTCAGCTGCAGTAGTTGAGCAGCTGTTTAAACTGACTTTCATATTATGTGTTAGACCAGACTAGGCTAATTGTCAGTTGTAAGCCAAGGAGCTTTCTCCTGGTCCCCTTTGTGAATTCAGCCTTCTGTTCCAAATCTTTTTTTGGTTCCGCTCTAATTGTTTTAGCCTCCTCTTCCCCCATGAGACAAAAACGGTCTAATCACAGTACTTGCAGAAATAGGGGAATACCCAGTGGTTGTGAAGGAATCGGGATCAAACCCAAGGCCTTTGGGAATAGTGAAGTGATATCCCAAAGCTGTTGGATGTGTGTGGCTCCGTGTGCGCATGTCCTATCAACCCCTGTAGAGATTATCAGCACAGGAGCTGACCTCGTAATTCTCATCCCTTGAGTTTTATCCACCGATGCACAGTGTTTGTTTTTCTCCCCGCAGATTGTTATACACCTGCTCGTTGATTGTCTCTTTTTAAAGGAGCTCTGACATTTTTGGAAAATTAGATTTTCTTTTTTTACCTAAAGTCAGATGAGAAGATTTGAAATCACTCTGGTCTCCTGTGTGTACGTCGTACTGCTGAGTACCGGATGAACAGGTGTAATTTCCTGTATGATATTAATTTTTTAATTTTCTGCCATACCGGTGCATCGGTGCAACAACTGCTGTTACTCACTTGTTTCTTGCTTGTGCAGTAATCCTCAAAATCAAAGCCTTCGGTATATACATGGTGGCATTAAAATGTTGTTATATTGTATGTACTCCTACAGTAGAATAAGCCACTGCAAACCTTTTTAAAATTAAATCTTACAGATTACAGATTTTTGGTCTCTCCTCATCTCTACTGGTTCCATACAATTTAAAATTTAAATCAGTGTTATCTAAGTGTTTGATGAGAAATACAGTAATACGATTTCTTAAATGTTGGATTTTTTCCCTTTAGATTGAACAGTGAGTGTTATTCTATTAACTTCCTCGTTTTCTGCTTTTCAGGATGAAACTGGTGCCTATCTCATCGATCGAGACCCCACATACTTTGGGCCAGTGCTTAACTACTTGAGGCATGGCAAACTGGTGCTCAACAGGGACCTGGCAGAGGAAGGTAATGTGTCTGAATGTGAGATGAACTTTAAGGAATGTTTCCAAAATCAAAATACAGCCGTCTATAGCACAATTAAGGCAATTCATCTAAACTACCTACATGTCCATCCACATCTGAGTTTTAACACAACACGAGTGCAATGCAAATCGTTTGAGTGGTCAAAGAAGAATAGAGTCTTACACATTATATTTTGGCATCCCTGCAAAATTTTTCCTCTTCACTGTTTTAGGTGTGCTAGAAGAAGCCGAATTCTACAACATCACATCATTAATAAAGCTCATCAAGGACAAGATCAGGGACCGCGACTGTAAAACATCACAGGTATACGAAGTTCGATCGATTTCTCCATGAATGGGACATTCCTGATCTATTCATTTTGTAAACATGCCGTTTATCTTGTGTTCGTCCTTCTTCTCAGGTTCCAGTGAAGCATGTGTACCGGGTGCTGCAGTGCCAGGAGGAGGAGCTGACACAGATGGTGTCTACCATGTCTGACGGCTGGAAGTTTGAACAGGTAAATCTCCTTGTGCAGGGTCACAGCAGCAATCCCCCTTCCATGTGCTTCACCCACTCCGCTATGCTCACATTGACCCAGAAAGTCCAATCCCTCAATACTGGAAATAGCTAAAAAGCCAAAATCTTTCTCAATGTCCGCATACATGATCCGGGCATCCCTTCTGTGCTCTGATTGGTTGTTGCAGCTTGTCAGTATAGGTTACGGGCGGGCCCACCAGTCAGAGTTTCTGCTGATTGTGTCAAGGGAGGTGAAGGGAGAGGAGTCTGCTTTGCCAAACAACAGCGGAGAGGTGTGTCCCACAAATTTCTGTCCACGGGCTGGTCACTGCATGGTCCCCATGTTGTCCATACATACCCCGTTGGCCATTGTTTGTCCTAAGTAGACACATAGCTGTTGGTCTTTTTATTTTTTATTTTTTTTTGAGTTGATTCTTTTCAGTGTTCATTTGTACTGCTTGCTCACCAATGAGGCTTAGAGAACATGACACATTTTCCTTGTCTATAATTTGATTTTATTATACTGTTCTTTTATTCATACTGCATTCACAGTTTGTAAGCTTGTCAATGACCTTCTGTGTTTTGCTTTAATGTAGCCACCTGGCTATTTTGGGGCCTGTGCTGTAATATAGTGCTGGTTGTTTAGAGGTTAAAAGTTTTAAAATAATGTTGTTTTATCTCCCCAGATGGTAATTGAAATAGATTTAAATGTTAAGATAGAATAATCCGTATGTCGTATGAGAGTTTGCGTTCAGCTAGAATTGCCAAAGGCACATTTTTTCTAATGAGAAATCACACATTTGGGTGTTAGGAGTGTGTATTACGTGTGAATAAACCTCTCTGAGATGAGGGATCACTGGATCTCCCATTAGAGCTGGGATCTCTAATCTCCTTACACAGGTCAGATGGGAAACTCCTACAAACACTCCATATACAAAGCCTAAAGCTTAGTCATCAGCCCAGGAGAGTCTTTTGGGGAGATGAGCTTTAATGACCTACTGCCATCTTTAAGACTCTATGAACACATACAGTTTGAAGTGTAATTTATGCTGAAAGTCTGAGTATTTGGTGCCTGGTGAGTCTTTAGCAGTGTGACAAGTAGAATCCATGGTAGCTAGTTGAGATCATTTGGTCTTTTTTTTTTTTTTTTGCTGCGTTGATACGTAATGTAAGAGAGAACGCTTAACAACAACAACAAGTCTCCGGCAGCAGCGGCTAATGAGGCGATGCATGTCTGAACATGCACACCTGGGCACAGACGGTATACATGTAGCCTGCAGTGTACACACACTTAACATTCAGCAATAAAAGCAGTTATTCAGGAACAGGAATTTCTCTTTTTTTCCTCATGTTTTTGACAGTGTGCATGCAGTTTGTTTATAAAGATCTCAGATATCGTTCCTTTTATTTGTCCTCTTGTGTCCTTTTTGTGTCTTTTTATTAAAACTGACGTGATTGGGAACAGGAACATTGGAAATTACCATGATTATTAGAAAATATTTTTCTAAATATACCATGTGTGGGATTTTCTCATAGCAGTTATTTCCCTGACTTGCACATTCAAAGCTTCACTAATGTTTTCATTCATTTGAACTTGGGTTGTTTTGCGCTCCATTCCCTCTCAGATCTTGAGTAAACCCTGGTGGTGGACCGGTAAGCCGTGCAGCCAATGCAAGACATGATGAGTCATAGAAAGGAGATTATATGATGCAGCTCATAGTATCTAGCACTGGTGGTATTGATCATAATTAATATGTCAGGTGAAGCACTGGAGAAAATCCTACACACGTTGTCTTTGTCATGGTACTACTAACATTCAAATCGGTGTCAATCAGTTTAATTCCAACTGTTCACTTACAACAAGCCTGGTCCTATCAAGTCAAGTCCACCATTTCCCATCGATTCTCAACCGGCATGTTTGCTTCCTGTGGTCGAGTCCCTGCACTTGTATTCACTGACTGTCCGTTTATTATCCGCTGATTGTCCTTTTTTCTTTCTGTGACAACTTCGTGCTCATTCTTTCATTATCATTACTTTCTTTTTGTGGAACACCAGTTATTTGATTTCTGTGTACTTCCTTTGATAACTCAGTTTTCTTTTTTTGCCCTTTTGATCTTCTTCTGAGTGTTTTATTTTGGTTTTTCAATGTTGGCATGTCTGCAGGTCCTGAAAATACAGTTTGCATTGCATTTTATGAAGAGTGACTTAAACTGACACATTTCAATGTAGCCATAAAGTCTTGAAATTGGTTTTAAAGCCTCGAACGTCTTCTCTTGGATTATTAGTTTAATTTTTTAAGTGGGGTGCCGTGTTGACCCTTGTGGTCTAAATGTACCATGTAATTGTGTAACCCTGACATCCTGGGTTTAAATCTGACAAAAGACCTTTATGTGTCTCCTACCATATGTTCTATCATATGGTGTTCTTCATTTCTATCTAGCTATGTCTAATTAGTGAAACCACTTATAATATATTGAGAAGCCTTAAAGTTAAGTTGCAGGAACCTGTAGACTCTCTGTGCTCTTTGATCGGTTGTCAACCTCTTTCACATTACTTTAACGTCTCCCTACCTCTGTTCTCCCACCGAGAGTAACCCAGTTTTCGCCTCTACTTCATCAGTCTAAGGCTAATCCTTCCTTATGTGCTCTGCTCTCGTGTCTCTCTAGCTGGTCAGCATAGGCTCCTCTTACAACTACGGAAACGAAGACCAAGCCGAGTTCCTGTGTGTAGTCTCCAAGGAGCTGCACAATCAATCATACGGGACAAACAGTGAGCCCAGTGAGAAGGCTAAGGTAAGTGTGTGAGTGTGTGTGCAGAGGGGCCGGTTGAAAATCCATCCGTAGCAAACATCTGTGAGTGATGGCCTGTGCTGGATGTTTTTAAATGCATTGCATTTATGAACATGCCACCAGGGAGCTGAAAGCACCTCTGGTTTATTGATGAGAAGCCTCTATGAAGGAGAACATTGTGAATATTCAGTCCTTCAGTTAAAAAGCAGCCCGTCTGTATAACCACAAGTGTTCAGGGGGAAAAAAAAAAGGAAGATAAAATGTATAAAATAAAGCAAACGGACATTAATTTTAACATTTCTCTAACAGAACTATCCCAGCTTTTCCACTTAGGTTACATTTAACCTGAAATAAAAAAAAACTAAATGGTATCAAGAGTTTAAGAGAGTACAGGTCTGAAGATTAGCGCTGCTATTGGCAAGGTCTGTCATTTTCTCAAGGGCTTTGAGAGCAAAGCAAGAGGCACGCCCTGAGGAATACAAACTCCCACGAGCTTGTCCCTGTGGGGAGGCCCCCACTCCTTTAAAGGCAACCACACATGAAGAAGCACACCGTTAAACTTATATTCATGCTGTTGTTTCTTTTAATAGGAGGATTAGCAGTGCATCTTTCAAGCAAATGTAGAGATAGTAGAGAGTTTGCTGTGATTTTTTTTCCAGGGGCACCATATCCAAACTGGGTCCTTGAGTATGACTAATTTAATGTTACTATTCAAGGAAATTGAAATCTAAAATTATCTCTCCTTTTTGTATTATGCATGTGTTATTTATTAGTGATAAATGGCACAATTTGGAATCAGTTCTGACAAGTGAATTGAGGGTAGCAGAACGGTGTCCTTGAATAACGTTTGTACTTGTTTTCATAGACACTGAACGTAGTTGTTAATGTGTACCCCCTCTGAATTACCCATTAGTTTTATTTTTCTCCTTGTTCTCCTTTCCAACATTTTACATCTTCCATTCATTTCAATTATTTTACGCCATGCCCTTCTTGTCTTCTTCTGTGCCATCTGCATGCTGCATGTTGCTCAGAGCGAGGACGAAGAGACGGATTATGAAATGAATGACTCTGATTAGGGTTGAGCACTTATGACTCACTGGTGAGCGCTCAAGTGCTCGTAGTCCCTCCACCACACCTCCCTAGTTTTGTCCCTCACTTCCTTCCCCGCGCCTCCTTGATGCAGTTTACACTACTGAAAACTTTATTCTCATTTGTTTTCAAAGACAACTGGAGCTGATAATATATCTATATAAACTGGAGTAAAGTGACTGAATCCGGGTTAAAAATCAGCTTTGGCTCTCTACAAGCAAAAAGCTAGATCAAAAACCAGATGGTTCCTGCTGAGACTGGTTGAACGCTTCTTTGCAGGTGAAGCTCTTTTTGAAACCAGATGGGAAGAGCTCCGTTTGTTTCAGTAGTGTAAATAAGACCCTCGTAATCGTTGTCATCCTCACAGCCTTGGTTAACGGAGGGCATGCTGAATCATCAGCTGCTGCAGTTTGACTCATTGTCCCTCATTCAATGACATTTAAAGGGACGGGAGGGTTACTATGCTGCCTTTTGTCTGGTTCATTGTCAATAGTAGTAGCGGTTGAAGTGTCGGTTGGAAAGCACTGATGTGGTTAAAGTAAAATCATTAATGCATCCTGTTTTTAAAAATGACAAAGTTGGGTTTAATCTAAAGCATTATACAGGTTTTACACTGATTGGATTGCTACAGTTAAAAGTAGGAATGTCAGACTATAAATGCAGGTTAAGATGATGCTTGAAAAGAAGCTAAATCAACAGCAGGTTTCTGCTTCTGTAAGTGCAAATGGATTACATAAACTAATGGACTAACCAGAATCACATTTCAGTAATCACATTCTTCAAACTTAATTTAGTGGCATTACGAAGCGTAATGTTGTGAAGTGACCTCTTCACTTTTATACATTTCAGTTACATGGTAAATGTACTTGGTATAGGGCTGCAACTACTGATTATTTTGATTAATTATTATTTCAAGTAATGGATTTGAATTTAGAAAACATCAGAAATGAATTTCCCAACTCAAGGTGGTGTTTGCAGATCGCTTTTTCTGTAACCGACAGTCCCAAACCCAAAGATATTTAGTTTTCTATAATGTAAAACAGGGAAAAGCAGGAAATCCTCCCATTTAGAAGCTGGATCTACAGAATGGTTGACATTTTTGTTTCAGAATTGACTGAAACAATTCATTTATTCTCAAAGTAATTTATTTTCAGCTCTAATTTGGTAGGATATTAAAGTAATCGTCTTTATAATCTCAAAGAGGGTTGAGTTATACACCAGAAATACACATAACCCCCAATAGGGTTTTTTAAACTACTGAATATGTTGCACCTTAATTGTAATTTATTTTTAGTACAAAGAATCATTAAGCGGTCAATTTAATTTACTGTTACAACAGTAAATGTGACAATCTATTTGGGCCAACCTTAATCTCAATCTGCAAACGTCAATGATTGGCAGTTTATTGAAAAACCCCAAATAAAAGGTTTTTAAAAAAAAAAAAATAAAAAAAAAAAACCTCTTGTAATCTATACTGAACTGGAGGGAGATTTTTACATTTTAAATTTTATCGTAATCTCTGTGGCAGTTCATAATCACCCAGGGTGCCGTGGTTAGTTTCAGCAGCATGTCTTTCCAGTACCAAGGTTGACTGATTTCAGCTTTTTTTTACCTCACCCAGAATCGGCTCTACAACCATGTACTGCGTAGCCTCTAGCTCAACGCTTTATTTTCCTCACTTGTGCAAGCATTTCCCTTTTTTCTGCACCCTATTCAGTGTGTTTGATTCAGTTAGCACATAGGGTAAGTGTGTGAGTGCTCCTGGCTGGGAGAGTATGCACTGTGGCAGGAATAAGTGCTTCCGTTAAAAAAAAAAAAAACCTTTTATATAAAGACTTGTGAAATACAGAGGACTGTGCAGAGTCACATACTCAATGTCTTTTGTTCTAATGTCTAGTGTTTTTGTTCATTATATCATTCTTTTGGTCTCTGCAGATTCTTCAGGAAAGGGGTTCCCGGATGTGAAGAGGACTCAGTATTATGAGCTCCAGGTGTTATGATGCAAACATATCATCTTTGTGGAAGAACGTTTGGCACAATGGAGATTTAAAAAGGGGGGTGTGCATTTATTTTGTGTTCCCTCCATTTTGGTTTTTATTTCTTGATGTAAATAAGTCTGTTTACTGACAAGTTGTGCCTGTACATTTAAACTGGACCTTTTTTTTTTTTTTTTTTTGAATTAGCGGCAAGTTTTTTTTGTTTTTGTTTTTCTAATTGAAAGTAAGGAATTGCAATCTACATATGTTTTATGCTATAAAATATGGCCATCATTATATAAGGCCAATGTTTCACTCAGGGTCATCTATCGAGTTAATTCTTATATCCTCCAACTCAAGGGTCTGGTAAGGGATCAGTGTGGTCTTTATAACTCAAAAGTATCAAACTCAAAAATCATTGTTTAGAGATGTTAAGAAGGGAATTGTGCATTTATTTAGCGCATGTTAAAGAGTTAGGCTATTAAATGTGAAATTCACCCCAAAAATCAACCACAAATGGATCAAAGATTTTTCCAGTTATTTCAGTTATACTGAGATTTGTGATCATGAGGATCCCAGCTATACAGCACACATTTTCAGATGCATTTGAAACGGTTTACTTTGGTTAGAAAAATAATTTCAGTAACTATTTTCCGTCTAAAAAAGGATCATATTCTCAGACCAGGATGGAAACTATGTGAACAAAACTGTTTTGATACTGTAACTAAAGGGGCATTAGGTAATTTATCACAGGGCTTTTATTGGTTGGCGAGGAAGTGACCTGTAATAAACAGAAATCTGTATGTCCCTTTTTCACTTAGACTAAGTAAGCTAATTTTAAAGATACAGCAGAAATATCTTCCTAATATCGCGATGCCGGATTCTTTATTGTTTGCTTTCTTGGCTTAATTCCTCGTGAAGTGAATGTGTTGCTAGTGTATCTGCTTGTGGCACCGTGCGCTCTATCTCGCAACCTTAGTAACGCATTAACCCACAGATACTGCCATTGTGTGCTGTGGGATTAAGTAATTATTATATTTTCAGGAAGTCCATATACCTGTTTTATAACGGATGACGCGCTTAAGTATTGGACACACCTTTTAACCACACACGTTCATTCATAATGTTGTGTTTCAAAGTAAGATTTCTGCTGCTTCTGTAAATTGTTAGAGTAAAGAAGTAAAACTGCTCTTTAAATGTTGAAAAGTGCAAGTTTAAATCAAGTTTAATCTGCCGGATATCTTTCTTAACTTCTAATTTAGTTTGAGACCTCCTCATGTTCATAAGTCTTAAAGTTAACTGCCAAAATAGTCAAAGGTGTTTCAAATGTGAATTCTGTTTTACAACGATATTATTTTTTAAACATCAGTGTCCTCCAACGTCCTCCTGTTTCCTGTCGGGGAAAAACATCCTCGAGACAGTGGCGTCTTTATTTTTTCCCCACTGACTTCTGAGTTTTCCTTAACTAGTTTATTTAGTATGCTTGAGGGAACATCTTGTTTGATTAAGATCTTTTTTTCTTTTTTTCTGTTTTTTGAGGGGGGAAGTATTTGTGGTGTGGGAGGTTTGGGGACTGGATCAGTTTGAAGGCAGTGGTGAAGGACTTTCTGTTCATATCCAGAGGATTTTGTTTTGATGTAAATAATCCAAATTCAATATTAATATTTAACTCTTGGAAAAAAAACTGCACGTTTTGTACACTGTATAGAAAACACAACTTCAAATGGAAGTTGTTTATACTGGATCTTTAAAAATGAGAATCTTGACAATGTTAACTTCTGTTTTGCATTGTTTGTACAGGACTCTAGAGATTTCTGAGTTTGGATTGAAACAGCTGATGCTGAATATGGTGTCTTTCACTGAGAACATGCCTGGAACATGTTTTGATAACCAATAACAAAGCTATACTTGGCTGGCTATGAAGTTGACTGTTACATTTAAAAACAAATGTATTTTTTCCTGCATTGTGATAGATTCTTCTAAGCATTTTGAATTGTGTAGATTTCGTACAAAGCATTACAAGCACTACAGTGGAAAAACACTGTGCACATTGCTTACAGGCCTGTAATGTTGTTAATGTAAATACTACATTTTAGAACACTTTTTTTATAGAAAGTTGTTTTCAGGTTTGATGTGTGGTTTTGATAGGTTGGATATTTCATTCACAAATAATCATTTTAGTGTTGCCTTTTTTCCCAATGACCAAAATCCAATGTCTTATGTGTACTGTACACATTAATCTTAGTGTCAGGGATGAGTAAACTTTTCTTAATGCTGGCACACTTTGTACATATAGACTTGTTAACGACACACAAACCTCCATTTACTCACATGTACACGTATACACTTGACTAAAACAATTTTTATATTGTCGGGGAAACAAGTATGGATGCATGTTTTTTGATATATAGATATACACACATATATATATATATATATATATATATATACACAAATACACACAAGGGCTTTTAAAGTGCAAAATTTGACATCTGCAAAGAGGTTCAATCAAAGTAGACTGGATTTCCTGCCAGAGCTAGGCTATGTTTACATTTGCTATAGTATTCTGAAGCCTTCCAATTATGTACTGTCTTGCACTCCCTCACACACGTTAACATCCGTCTGACTTGTGTGACTGCACCGATGGCAACTAGCACTCCCCACTCCATATGAACTGATATTCACACGGACGTGCTGACTGATAAGATGCTCCATCCGTTTCTGACAGCCTATGCTTGAGCGTTGCAGACAATCTCGCTTTCCGCCCTCTCTGACGGCAGAGATGCTCACATTTAATAGGATACCTGCGTTGGCTCAGAGCAAAGGTTTATTTGGGTCTTCTTTTGAGACCTTGGTTTTTTCTGCAATGAGATTTAATGTGTTTTTTTGTGTTTTGATTTGCTTGGTTCAGTTGTAACCTCCATTTAATATACTCTGTCTGAGGTGTTTAACCCCTCTACTTTAGCAGCTACATTACCTTTAATGCCCTTCACAAGCAGGTTGTCTGGTTGAGCATTTGGCATTGATAATCATTTCATGTGATGGACAAACTTATCAAATCTGTAGCCTAATACTTATAAGTGCCCAGTTTGTTTTGCATTCAAGTCATAAGCCACAGACCACTGTAATGCATGGTTGAAGATGATCACACTTGTAATCAGAGGGAATGAATGTGTCATTTTACCTCAATCTAGCAATTAACATCGATGAATAAGGTTCTCATATCACTACATAGATCACTTCTGTATGATCTTATGCAATGTTAAAAATATAAAAACTAACTATGAGATTAAGGGGATAGATCTATATGGTCTTGCATAAGGTAAACTCAATAAAAATGTTGTCATTCATGTGTGTACTGTTTTTTTTTTTTTCCCCCCTTCAGAGATGTTTACCCTGCGGCTCTGCCAGAGTGTAAATTATTTAATGTTTCACTATTTCTATATTCTATAGTAGCCTACACACACTATTAGCTTTTTTTCATATGATCAGTTATCATATTGGACGTGCAGAAGCGGCTGTACACCTGTAGAGACTATAGAAATCCATGAGAACAAATCCCAATGTTTGATAAATAGCGACCTCTTGTGGGAATTTGCTTAAAACGGTTTGATATGGTATAGTTGTCTCTATAAATGCCTGTTTAAATGTAAACGAGAAGAATTTTTGTTAGCATTTTTTTGCACGGTAGAATAAAACAGCGTTTGAAAATGTGTGTTTTACAGCGATGAATCTTAACTTGGATACAATTTAACTCGTGTAATTGTATACATAATGTTATATTATTTGTCAAGCGTAATCGTTTGGGTTAACGGTCTTTGGTCTGGGCAAAGATGTTATATTAGAGAAGATAGAAATCCTTCTGGGTTTACTAAAATGGAACATGTCGCGCTTGGGCATTCATCATGTATGAAATAAAAAATACGTTTAATTTAATATAAATATAAAGA